CCGCCCGCACTCACGGCGCGGGCTCCCTGCCCTCCGCGGTCCCGGCCGCGCCTGGCGGCGACGCTGCTCCAGAAAACGAACACTGTTGCGCCGGTAAGTGTCCTGGCTGAGGCGCTTCCGCGACCGCTGGTGGATGCTGTGTGCGTTGCGGATGGACGACCTGGGCGCAGCGGGACGGGGGCGTTGCTCAGCGCCTGGCCGTCCCCGATGCGCCCGCGTCCTTGCTTGCGGGGACCCGCATGACAGGCCCTGGGGTCCAACAACTGGCCCGGGGCAGTGGGGAGCGGGGCGGGGACCCCGCACGACGGGGCGGGCCATGCATGCGACTCCCCCGCGCCTACGCGGACTCCTGGGTGGCAGAGCCCAGGTCCGTTTCCCACGCCCCTCGCCAGCCATCAGCCCGGCCCCTCCCCAGGAAGCCCTCTGGACTGCCACAGCCCTCACGGGCCGTCCCCAAGGACGCCCGGCATCGATGTCTACACCTCCACCTCACACCCCTGCTGTCCCACCGCCCCCGGACCAGACCCACAATGTGGGAGGGCAAGTCCTGCCTCGATCCAGTGAGGGTTCTGTCTCCCCCGCCTGCTGGGGAGCCCCTGTCCCGAGCCCCCTCCCCAGCACTGCCAATCCAGGGCCTGGACCGACAGAGGGGACTCGTGGTACCTCCTCCTCAGCCCCGTCCAATCCCGGGGACCCTCGCTCACCTGCGGGGCGGTGCCCCTCGGCTCTTGATCTGGCGTTGGGCCTGGGCTATATCCTGCCCGGACTTCTGTAGGTACATGGATGGGAAGTAGCCTGTGATGTCGTTTTTCCTGCAACAGAGGCAGCCCTTGAAGCCCCCGCAGTCACAGGGGGGAGTAGGGGCCTCAGATGTGGGGGGCTCAGGGATCTCTCTAAACAGTTGGGGATGGGGCTCCTGGGTGGCTCAGTCGTTAAGCATCTGCCTTAGGCTCAGGTCATGATCCCAGGGTCCTGTGATTGAGCCCCGCATCGGGCTCCCTGCTCCGTGGGAAGCCTGCTTCTCCCTCTCCCCTCCCCCTGCTTGTGTTCCCTCTCTTGCTGTGTCTCTCTGTCAAATAGATAAATAAAATCTTTAAAAAAAGAAAAAAAATTTAAAAAAAATAAACAGTTGGGGTTAAGGCAGTCGGGAGTTGCAGATACCCTGAAGCTTGGCCAACACCAGACTCTGTCCTGCTGGGCCTCAGTTTCTTCATCTGTGCAACATAGGCCCACCCAGCCTTGACGTTGGTAGTAGGAGAAATTAGCAGGTCCAACTTGCCCCCCCCCCCGCCAGCCCAGGGACATGTGTTTGCAATAAAACATCTGCAACAGTGTATTTGTCAGTATTTTCTTTTACAGCGTGTCTAAGAAACCTTTGTCTCCCTCCAGGTCACCAAGTTCCCCTATGCTTTCTTCCACAAGCTTTTTAGTTTGGGGTTTTGTGCTTGGTCAAACCCATGACGCATCCTGAATAAATGTGTGTGGTGTGAGGGAGGGGTCTACGTGCCTTTCCTCCAGGTGGACGCCCAGCTGTTCCGGCACCACTTGCTGAAAAGACTTTTCTCTCCATTCTCACTACTATAATTTGGGAGTGAGAAAAACTTCGCATATTACAAAGTTCACTCAGTAAAACTCTGATCCTTCTTGGCTGGTGGGAGAATCACAAGCAGATTCTTAGGGGTACATGATGGGCGGTTAAGTGAGGGTCAAAAAGGTTGAGAAATATCTTCCTGCCTCAGAGCCTCCAGCCCGGGGCCATGCTGATGGTGGGTGCTGTGGCCACGAGCTCACTGGGGCCATGGACTGGCCCTATGACTCGAGGCTCTGAAAGGGTGTAAAAGGACCTGGGGAGGCCCAGTGGGTCCGAGAAGATGGCCCTACAAGCCCCCAGGGTTCTGCTCTCCCCAGGAGGAATGACCAGATAAGAATCAATGACAACCGGGCGCCTGGGTGGCTCAGTCGTTAAGTGTCTGCCTTCGGCTCAGGTCATGATCCCAGGGTCCTGGGATCGAGTCCCACATCGGGCTCCCTGCTCTGCGGGAAGCCTGCTTCTCCCTCTCCCACTCCCCCTGCTTGTGTTCCTGCTCTCGCTATGTCTCTCTCTGTCAAAAAAATAAATAAAATCTTTAAAAAAAAGAATCAATGACAACCGAAGATTTAAAAGGAAAAAGGATGACAGGGTCTGCTCTACCAGTTCTCAAGTAAAATAATTAACGCAACAATCAATTGTGTTGTAGAAGGAATAATAGATGGCGAGTGACCCCAAGTCACAAAGAACAAGGACACTGAACCCTGAGAGCCAGTTGGGGTGGGATAGTCATTGATCTGCTACCAAAATGGAAACTGAGTCCATAGAGAGGTGGTGGCTTATCCAGAGTCCCACACCTGAGTCAGCACTGAGCCCAAACAGACCGGGCCCCAGGCCAGGGCTGACACTCAGGGTGGGCACAGTGGGGAGGGCGGGGCGCTCTCCTACCTGATGACCCACCAACCATCCAGGAGCTTATGAATGACCTCAATGGCTTCGCCCTCCTGCAGAGACACTTCATCCTCCATCTGGGCGGTATAGGCTTTGATGGAGACGTAGGGCTCACCTGGTCGGCCGTGGGGGCAGGGGCACGGTGTGAGGGTCTGCCCAGCGCTGGCCTGCCTCCCCTCCTCTCCTCTCTGGGCCCCGAGGCTTTCTCCAGCTAGAGCCCAGGACCACCTTCCCCTCTCCTCCCTGCCTGCTCCTTACTGGTCTCCCTCTGCAGGCTCCTGCCGCCCACTCGTGGGGCACCCCGGAGTTCTGCCCTCTGCCCACTACAGCCGGGGGAGCTGGCCCATCCCACCCCCCACCATCCACATCAGGGGCCAGGCACCTAAATAGGACACGTGGCCAGGCAGGTGGTGCAGGGGTGAAGCACCCGTCCACGTGGCACCTGAGCCACTTGACTCCGGCGTCCACACCTTTTCCAGTTTTTCCAGAGATGCCATAAATCTGCGTACAGTTGTGAAATCTCTCCATTTTAAAATACGGGCAATCAACTCTAACTTACTTACTTAGCTCCAGCCCGCGGGCTGCTGGTTCTCCGCTTGCAGTCAGCGAGGATGCCCCTGCCCGCAGGCAGCGCTCCTCCCTGAACCTCAGATCTGCTCCTCAGTTGGCTTCCCGCTGGACCTGGCCCGGGCTGGACCCACCTCTACTCTACCTCCTGGTTCTCTGTCCTGACCAAGGGCACCACCTCCTACCTGGGCCCCTCAAGCCAGACTATGGGGTCTCCACCCTGACCCCACTGTGCAGCCCACAATCCTATCCAACCCCAAAGTAGATATGATTGTATCTGGCTTCTCAATATCCCAGGGCCCCTCCGGTCCCTTCCCCTCACATCCTTATGGCCATGGAAGGCAAGGCCGCACCTTCATAGTTGGGCTCTGGGTCCTCTGTCTCATCAGGACTGTCCAGGGGCTCCAAGTAGGACGCCGGGACCCAGCCTCGCTTTGTCTTCATTTGGCAGAACCACCAGCCTGTGCAGGGACGGGGTGGGGGAGGGGTGGGGGTGAGGCAGGAAGTCTGGGCGGGCCTGGCAGCCTCCCTTGGCCACCAGGCTGGTAAGGACACCCGGACATAGACACACAGACATCCAACATTCAAATTCAGAATTGTCACCTTCACCATACTCCATGCACACAGGTTACAGGATTACAGCTCAGAATCTGCTTCCCACACAGCACGCCCAGAAGCTCACCTAGCCTCCTGGACCTAACCCCGGGGATGCACAGATGCCCACAGCCTCCCCTGGGGGGTGCCCTCAGCGTGGGGAGGCCAGTTGGGGTCCCCAGAGGAGCCACAAGCCTGTCAGTGGACCAGGCGGGGAGGAAGCTGGAGGCTGTCTGAGGGCCAGAGCCTTGGTAGGGAGCTTGAGGTCCCAGCAGGGCAGGGAGACTGACCACTCTCACTCTTCTCCACGACGTCCACCACATCACCCGTGGCCAGAGCCATCTGGGAGCCTGAGGTCTTCTCAAAGTCAGCGATGGCCCGGTACGTCTGCAGGATGATGGGGCCTGTGATGTCTGGACAGAGGGAAGGTGGGGTGAGTGCACAGTGCGGGGATGGGCTGCCTCCTCCAGGCAGTCCCCTGCACGGGCCACCAGAACCAGGTGCACTGGAGGTAGATGTCCCCTGCCAACTAGAAAGCAGCAGAGACCAGCTAGTTTTTGTAGCCCCACATTTATGGAACACCTCGTGTGTTCCAGACACTAGTCACACACCTTACACACCCTCTTTCTCACTTGATCAGGTTAGTGAGCAGCCCTCCTGCGCCCTAATGTGCACACCAATTGCCCCAGGATCTTGCTGGAACGCAGGTTCTGATTCCATAGGCCGGCAATGGGACCTGAGAGTCTGCATTTCTAACCAGTCCCCAGGTCTTACCAGTGCACCATGTTATGGACTGAAATACCCCTCTTCTCCCCTCCCAAAAATTCACATGTTGAAGGCCTAAGCCCTAGTACCTTAGACTCTGTATTTGGAGTTAGAGCCTTTAAAGAGGTGGTAAGGGTGGGGCCCTGACCCCATAGGACTGGCGTCCTTATAAGAGGAAGAGGAGACACCAGGGGGGTACGTGCACAGAGGGAAGGCCAGGTGAGGGCACAAGGAGGAGGCAGCCGTCTGCACGCCAAGGGGAGAGGCCTCGGCAGAGCCCAACCCCGCCCACACCCTGATCTCGGACTCCCAGCCTCCAGAACTGTGAGAGAACTCATTTCTGTTGTTTAAGACCCTCCCTCCCCCCTCGCCTGGACTGCGGTGCTTTGGCCCGCATAGACTAAGACACTGCTCCCTGGACCACACGCTGAGTGGCCCATAGCCCCATCCGGGCATCCCACTCACTGGTTGAAATCCCGCTCCACATTTCGTGGCTGTGTGGCCCTTGACCTGAGTTCCAGCTCAAATCAAGCTTCAGTGTGTCCAGCTGTGAAATGGGGTTAATAGCACTTTGGTCCCTACTTCATATTTGTTACAGAGATGATTACACGTGTTCATATGTGCAAGACATTTAAAATAGGGCCTGGGACAGAATGAGTCCTTAATAAATGTCAGGTTGTATTATTAACAATTATCGTGCACAACAGATCAGACACGGTCAGGCCCCTCTGCCCCCAAACCTGTTCATTCATTCAGCCAGGACATCGCGGGCTGTTGGGAGCGGGGGTCGGGCTGGGCTCTGCGGCCACAGACATGAGCTTCGAAAGCTTCACTGACCAGTGACCCCCCGAGATCCCCAGTCGTTAGTGCAAGCCACCAAGATAACTACCCCCCACCCCGGCTCCTTTCCCTGCACGGCCTGTGCTCAGCATCCCCCATCATGTCCCCAGTCCCCTCAGGGTGACCTACAGGTGGCTGCCCCCGGCTCTCACCCGTAATGCTCTTGTCTTTCGGCACCAGGTAGGTTTCTGGCTTTTTCACCCTGCAGGAAAGAAGAATCTGGGTTAGGTGTGCGGCTTCTCACTGGGGAAGCAGAGGCTCCGGGCAGACCTACAGAAGAACTTCCCAAGAGGAAAAGGAACATGGGATGTGGGGGCCGCTGCAGGGGGAAGGGAGCCACAGGGCAAGGAAAGCCCCCCCCTCCGCCTTCTGCAGACCCAAAGGAGCCAACTGTTTTTGGGGGTTTTTTTAGAGATTTATTTACTTATTTATTTGACAGAGACACAGTGAGCAAGAGAGAACACAGGCAGGGGGAGCTGTAGGCAGAGGGAGAGGGAGAAGCAGGCTTCTCGCTGAGCAGGGAGCCCGATGCGGGGCTCGATTCCAGGACCCTGGGATCATGACCTGAGCCGAAGGCAGACGCTTAACGACTGAGCCACCCAGGTGCCCCAAGGAGCCAACTGTTAAAGAGAACACAGGTGATGCACTCCGGTCTGGGAAAGGCTCTTGTCACCTTGGGGGGCCAGCTCCCCTCTTCTGGGGGCTCAGGAGAGTGGCCGACAGGGAGGGGGCATCCCCACCACCCAGGCCCCTGGGTGCTGCACTGTCCTGCCCCTGGGCCAGGGGAGATGTTCCACGGTGCTGTGTGTCCACCAGGCCTCACCAGCACTCAGTGAGCAGCGAGGGACAGAGGGAGGGACCTTCCCCAGCAGGACAGCACATTCCCCTGAGACCTCCCTCAGCTTCTCAGATGCTTTCCAGGCTGGGCCCTGAGTACAGGAGTCCCCTGGGGCTGGGGCAGGCAGAGAATGAGGGGCAAAGCGGAGGCGTGCTCAGCGATTAACAGTGGCCACCAACCCTCCCACCCCCCCCCATTGGGGCTCTGCACTTCACAGTTTGTAAGTGCTCTCCACGGCCCCCATTACTCCATCTGGCCCTTCCCACCCCGTTACAGCCGGAGAAATGGCTTTCAGAAGGCAAGCTGAGGCTGAGGACCTAGGATCTCACATTCCCAGCCCAGAGAGCCCCCCCACCCAGCACCGTGAGGCTCAGAGGGCTCCAGGTGGAGAATTGGCAGGGAGGCTGGGGCGGGGGGTGGGGGAGTTCCAGGTCACACGGGCCAGAGTTGGAATCCTTCCTCCTTCTCTTTTGGGCTGTGTGACTTCAGGCAAGTCGCCTCCCCTCTCTGAGCTTTAGTTATCTGTCACAGGGGGGATATCCTGCACCCCCTCCCCAGGCAGAGCTCACCACCACCCTTCCCTCTTCCACTTCGGGGCCAGAATGCGGGGGCCACTCACTGGCTGTCCGTGGGGAGCTTGAGGTCGTCGGGGCGCACCTGGAAGAAGTTGAGGAGGTGGGGGCAGCGAGAGATCTTGACAGGCAGGCTCATGAGCACATTGCAGTATTCGGTGAGGGTGCCCTGGCGACTCTCGGCGACACGCTGCCCGTCGAACCACCGTGGGGCTGGAGGGGCCCGGGAGGGACACCAGTGAGCACACTCCCAGGTCAAGTCCCAGAGGGAGCGGGAGTAGGGGGCACAGATCGCAGGGCAGGAGAGCGGAGCCAGGACAGGTGACCCTGCTCCTTACCTGGCAGGTGGGGGATGATCCTGTTCTGTGGGTTGATGTCCCCCGCCTCGATAGGAAACATTTCCTTTAACATTTTCTAGACACAAAAGAAAAGGCGAAGGCACGTCCTTTATTACAACCCTGTCAAAGCATCGAATCGGAAACGACTCTTCCAATCACGTGGGCTAGAAAGTTCGGCTGCCATCCTTGGTCCTCTTTCTCTCCCACCTTACATTCATGCCACCAGCAGATTCTTCTGGTTCTGCTCCTAAAATCCATCCAGAATCTGACCTTTCTCACTACCCACACAGCCACCACCTCGGGCTGAGCTTCCACCGAACCTGGATGATCACATCCTACGCCCCCTTCCATCTTTGTCCTCAACCCAGCACCCTCTTCACACTTAAATTGGATCATGTCTCTCCTCTGCTCAGAGCCCTCCCTGACTCTCAGCTCACATTAGTCTACAGGGCCCCGCAGACCCGTCCTGTCTGCCTCACTGACCTCCTCTGCCACTGCCCTCCACTCCCTTGTTCACTCTGCTCCAGCCATCTCTGAATATTCCAGGCCCATTCCTGTCCCAGGGCCTTTGCACTTGCTTTTCCCATTCTTCCCCTGTATTTGTCAATAGCGCTTTCTCTTTCTCTTTGTCCTTCTTCAAGTCTTTGCTCAGATATCACCCCCTCAGTGAAACCTTCTCCCTGACAATTTCCCCTCCTAACTCAGTCCTCCCATCCACCACCACCCCCTGCTTTATTTTCTCTATAGTTCTAATGACTGTCTAACATACTATGTAAATTACTTATGTTTTGTTTGTCTGTTATCTTGACTCCTCCGCTAGAACTTAGGGTCCACAAGGGAGGGCAAGGACTTGCATCTTTTTTATGCCCTTGCATCTTTTATGCCCTTTTTAGCCCCAGATCATCTCCCGCTCACCAAGTAGGACGCACCTGGCGCTTAGTAGGTGCTCGATAAATAGTTGATGAATGAATGCAAGAGTCCACCAATTAGTAAAAGGGGCTAATCCTACGCTAGAACAACCCAGAACAGTTTAAAGAGGAGAGATGGAGTCGTGCACATATCAGCATGGACAGGTCTCAAAAATGTGACCTAGTGACAGGAACAAGGCAGAGAAAGGAGCAGCGGCATGCTGATGGCTTCTAGAAAGCCTGCGGAAAATGCACGCTCAACACTACTGCATCTTGTTCTTGGACTTGTGTGTGTGTGTGTGCACGCACAGCTGTAGTCACCCAGGCTGGAGCTGGGACAGGGCATGGGATAAAGGGTGTTTTCCACTTCTTTTGTAATGTTTTCTTTTCTTTTTTTAAAAGATTTTATTTATTTCTTTGACAGAGAGAGACACAGCGAGAGAGGGAACACAAGCAGGGGGAGTGGGAGAAGGAGAAGCAAGCTTTCCGCCGAGCGGGGAGCCGGATGCCGGGCTCGATCCCAGGACCCTGGGATCATGACCTGAGCTGAAGGCAGATGCTTAACGACTGAGCCACCCAGGCGCCCCATGTTTTATTTTTATTATCTTAAAAAAAGCCTTGTGGGGCGCCTGGCTGGCTCAGTCGGTGGAGCTCATGACTCCTGATCTCGGGATTGTGAGTTCAAGCCCCACGCTGGGATTAGAGTTGACATTAAAAAAAAAAAAAAAAGCCTTGTAGCAAACAGCACAGTGATATCAATTGTGACTCAGTGTCCTGGGTGTGTGGGACCCTCATAGTCTTCACATTGATCTGCATTTTGCTTTATTTACTTACTTACTTTTTTTTTTTTAGGTAGGCTCCTGAGATCATGACCTGAGCTGAGATCAGGAGTCAGAAACCGACTGAGCCACCCAGGTGACCCTGCAATTTGCTTTAAATTTCTCATACAAGAGGGGCGTCTGGCCGGCTCAATCAGTACAGCAGGCAACCTTTGATCTCGGGATTATGAGTTTGACCCCACGTTGGGTATGGAGGTTACTTAAAAATAAAAAAATATTTTAAAAAAGTCTGGGGCGCACCTGGGTCTGCTTCTCCCTCTGCCTGCCATTCCCCCTGCTTGTCCTTGCTCTCTCCCTCTGTGTCAAATACATAAATAAATTTTTTTAAAAAATGCGAAGTTATGTTTATTTTACCACATTAAAACATACTTTAAGGAAATCTTACCACTTGCAACGATGTGGATGGAACTAGAGGGTATTATGCTAACTAAGAAATAGTCAGAGAAAGACAATTATCATATCATCTCACTCACATGTGGAATTTAAGAAACAAAACAGATGAATATAAAGGAAGGGAGGGAAAAACAAAATAAGACGAAATCAGAGTGGGAGACAAACCATAAGAGACTCTTAACTCTAGGAAACACACAGGGCTGCTGGAGCGGAGGTGGTTGGGGGGATGGGGTAACTGGGTGACAGGCATTAAGGAGGGCACTGGATGTGATGAGCACTGGGTGTTATACGCAACTGATGAATTACTGAATACTACATCTGAAACTAATAATACACTGTATGTTAATCAATTGAATTTAAATTAAAAAAAAAACCAAAAAATAAATAAAAAATAAAACATACTTTAGGGCGCCTGGGTGGCTCAGTTGGTTAAGCGACTGCCTTCAGCACAGGTCATGACCCTATCCCCTCTCATGTGTTCTCTCTCTCTCATTCTCTCTCACACAAATAAATAAATAAAATCTTAAAAAAAAAAACAAAACATACTTTAAAGAAAATGTTCTTTTAACTTAAGGAATAAATAATGCACCCTCAACTGTGGGCTGGGGGTGCTCTGGGTTCCTCACTTCCTGGCCAGCACCTGGGCCACCCTCCCCCTGGAAGGGCAGAGCTGGGACTGGGTGTGGTGTCCCCTCCCCCCCCTCCCAGACACACACACACACACACACACGAGTGCGCAGGGCACTCACGTGGAACTCGTAGATCTCCGTGAACCGCCGGTATACCACCTTCTCAGACAGGTCCTGCCACTTCACCAGGAACATGTACACCTGGGGGGGTGACAGGGTGGGGGCGTTCAGCTTCCTGGGGGAAGCCCATGGGACTCAGGGGCACTCTTTGGGGTGACCTGGGCCACAGAGAGGGCACTGACTCATGGACCCCAGAGCTCCTGCTCTCCAGCCTTAGGACCCAGGGTGAGATGCAGCTTCTCTCAAATGAACTCAAATTCCTCATCTGTAAATTGGAGACAGAGGGGCTCCTGGGGCTGGTAGGAGAGTTACAGGAGGTGAGACGAAAAGCCTGGGCTCAGACCTTACGAGAACTCAGGGAGAGAGTGTAGGGTGCCATTTCTACCAAATGTCCAGAATAGACAATCTACACGGACGGAAAGTAGATTAGTGGTTGTGGGGACTGGGCTGGGAATGGGAAGTTCCTAACAGGTCTGGGGTTTCTTTTGGGTGGTGATGAAAATCTAATATTGATTGTATGAAGGGCGCCTGGGTGGTGCAGTCGGTTAAGCGGCCGACTCTTCGATGCGGCTCAGGTCATGATCTCAGGGGCGTGAGATCGAGTCCCACGTTGGGCTCCACGCTCAGCTCAAAGTCTGCTTGAGATTCTCTCCCCCTCTCCCTCTGCCCCTCCTGCTCATGCTCTCTCTCTCTCTCTCAAATAAACACACCTTTAAAAAATATATGTACATTGATTGTATGATGGTTGCACAACTCTGTGAATACTAAAAACCATTGTACCCTTTATATGTACACTTTATATAGGTGAATTATATCTCCATGGAGCCATTATTAGGAAGAAAAAAAAAAAAAAAGGAAAGAAACCTGGTATGGAGAAACCAAAAGAGAGCTAGGAGAATTCTATACTCAGCCACAAAAAGGAACAAATTACTGACAGATGCATCCACACGGATGAATCTCAAAAGCATTCTGCTAAGTGAAAGAAGCCAGACACGAAAGGCCACACACATGATTGGTAGGATTCCATATCTGTGAGAGTCTAGAACAAGCGTGACTAACTAAAGGTGGAGGGAAATCAGAACAGAGGTAGCGTCCGGGGGATGGTGGAGGAATGATTCGGGAGTGAGAGAATCTGGGGGTGATGGTAACAATCTATACCTTGATGAGGGTTTGGATTATGTAGGGACATGTACCATTAAAATTCAGCAAATATATCTCTAAGATTGGTGGATTTCATTTTACATAAATTTTACATCAAAAGAGAAAAAAACTAGGGGCACCTGGCTGGCTCCATCAGTGGAGTCTGCAACTCTTGATCTCAGGGTTGTAAGTTCAAGCCCCATGTTGGGTGTAGAGACTGCTTACAAATAAAATCTTAAATGTTTTTACAATAAAATTTAAAAAGAGAAAAAAATAAACGAATATGACCTCTAGGTAGCGATATGCATGCTTAAGTATTTAGGGCAAAGTGTACAGATGTTTGCAATTTGCTTTGAAATGCACCAAGGCACGCCTGGGTGGCTCAGTCAGTTAAGCTAGCCAGACACCCCAAGAAAACGTTTATACGTTTTTTTCTCTTTCCCTTTTTTCTTTTTTTTTGTTTTTTAAGATTTTATATATTTGTCAGAGAGAGAGCACAAACAGGGGGAGAGCAGGGAGCCTGATGTGGGACTCGATCCCAGGACCCTGGGATCATGACCTGAGCTGAAGGCAGACGCTTAACTGACTGAGCCACCCAGTCATCTTCCTTCCTTCCTTCCTTCCTTCCTTCCTTCCTTCCTTCCTTCCTTCCTTCCTTCCTCCTTCCCTCCCTCCCTCTTTCTTTTTTTCTCTTTCTCTTTCCCTCTCTTTCTTCTTTCCTTTCTTTCTTTTTAAACATTTTATTTTTAGGGGTGCCTGACTGGCTCAGACAGTTAAGCATCTGACTCTTGATTTTGGCTCAGGTCATGATCTCAAGGTCATGAGATGGAGCCCCACGTCAGGCTCCACGCTCAGCATGGAGTCTACTTGAGATTCTCTCCATTTCCCTCTATCCCTGCCCTCCAGCTCATGTGCTCTCTATTAAAAAATATATATATATATTTT